CTTTTTTCTATTCGTTTTGGTCAAACCTTGAAGATAATAATATCACGAGGTGTCACGCTCAGAGTATGCTCAGATGTTCTTGAGGAAAATGCAGCCAAACAAAGACACACACACCCAGACGTGAGCAAAACCATCACTGCCTTCAGCGGCGGGTGATAACAAGCTGCTGATGCATTTGTGGAAGGCTGAGGTGAAAGGTCAAGCTGTAAACATACCTGGGAAAAAGCTCAGAAACAGTTCATCTTGTGGTGTCTTCACCCAGTCTGTCAGAAATGAGCCTCACCGGTTTAATTGGTAACGTGACTCTAAGCTGTTCCTGCATCATTGTCTGGTGAAAGCATTAGAACAATCTGCAGAAACCCAGAGGAGCCGCCGTCTGAAGCGCAGCGTCGAGTTAGATAACGTCGAGTGGTTAAAAGGAAGTGAGCAGATTTACAGGCCGTCTGTTCTGCTGCTTGGAACAAAAGCTGAAACACATTGTGGCCGTTGCGTATGATGGAAAACTTTATTGCATCAATGTCAAAACTTTTTTTGCGCCAAGTAATGCCTCAAGTTGTTTTTAGCGCAGATGTTTTTGTTCCTTCTGGGTTTTTTATTTATGTAAGGACCACAAACACCGTGTTCCTGTGGGTTTCTTACAAATAAAAAGGTTAAAGTTCATCTACCGTATTTTTCGCTGTATAAGTCACCGTTTTTTTTTCTTCATAAATTAACATGCCTGCGAGTTATACAGCAAAGCGATGTATTTATGTCCCCCCCCCCCCCCCCCTCATATTTATAACCCAATTTTTGGCTGAGATCTGACAATTTCATTCATTCTGACATGGGAAAATATTGAACACTACCATTTTCAGCCACTAGCGGGCCCTCGACTAAGATGGCAAGCCAACTGTCTGATTAATAGGTAATAGTGCTTATTAATGAGACACTTGGCTTGCCATACAGCCCTTCGTCTCGCTCTGGAACTCCTGGAGCAAACGTCAAATCAGCTGCATTTCGCCGCGCCGCCCAGGCGAAATGCAGCTGATTTGACCATTAAAGTGCATTTATTAAGAAAAAAATAAAATGAGACACACCTTTACAATAATGTCGAATAAAGAAATGATTATTTTTAGGTAGTTATCTTGTTAAATTTCGAAGAAATGTACAGTGAGTCCTCCTTCTGTGCACTCCTGCTTCCACGTATCAGCTTTTGAAATGCAGCTGATTTAACCGTCAAAGTGCATTTAATAAGAAAAAGTTAGGCTGAGACGCACCTTTACTATAATTTCAAAGCGAACAAATAATTGTGTTTTTAGTGTTAATCTTGTTAAATTCTTGTTAAAGTCCTCCCGTGCGCGCTCCCACGGCCGCCATTTGGCAGCCATTTGATTTTTGGCAGGACACCGGCCCACGTTTCAGGTTTGTCAGCGGTGAAGCGTAATAAATGCGACTTACGGTCGTGTGACGTGCGTGGCAGCAAGTACGGTACTTCTTGTGTCAGTGAAATGTTTCTGTTTCTGATCCTGACACACCTTAAAGGCATCTGCATGTGCAAGTGTTGCACATTCATGTTCTGAAGTCTTGGGGCTTTGGGGGATTTTGATTTTGAATAAAACATCTTAGTGAAACTGTTTTCACACGTGTTCTTCAGCTTCTCGTTTACTAGATGTGTTTCAGAAGATGAAAATGTCAGAAGGAATCAGACCAGATCTTTGTTAAGACTTTACTCGGGCAGCTTTTAGCTCCAAATGAAGGAGCACAAAAATACTTTCACCATGACAGAAAAAATGCAAGTTGCTGTTTGCTCTTTTTTATCAACATTCCAAACAAAACTGAATGAAAATAAAGTTTATAGTAGTTGCACAGCGCTTGTCCTAATTGTCTATAAAGTTTTACTTTCTGTGCACAAACTATGTGGGGATCAGCTTTAGAAAAAGTATGAGATTCTTGGGTAAAAAAAGACATTTTAACAAAATCTGGCACCATTTTGACTCTCAGATATCACTACATCAAATTTTAGCTCAATATTGTCATTTTGCAAATATTTCTATCTTGGCCAATGTCGATTAGCTGCGTCAGCCATCTTGAATGTGGTTAATGCCAAACTTTTTGGAGTATGTTTTAGTAATAACTCTCAGCAACAAACACACCCAGTTTTATCTCAAGCCATTATTGTGTTTTCTAAGCTCGGTCGGTTGTGGCGGCCACCTTGAAAGATGTTTGGTCCGAAACTTGAAGAGTTGTAGATGCACATTCAGTGACTATTTCCTGAAAGTGTTGTTAAATTTTGCTCAGTGGTTCATGACATATTTTTCTAACAGACAAAAATATTATCATCTGCTTTCACCTTTCAAATGTCAATCATACTGGTCCCATCATCCTCAGCTGTAATAAGCACTAATTCTAATGTAATCATATTGCTAATAATGCTAATAATGCTAATATGCATGGACTGTTGCAGAGGTGCTGTCACTGAGAAAATGCTGCACACACTCATTCTGTTAAACCCTTGTACCTGCTGTACTCAACTTTTCCTAACAAGGTTAATTTGAAAGCAAATTTGCAACAGTCCTGAAGTAAACTAGTTGTTTCACTGGAAGTTGTGCTTTAAACTCTGAACGCACACTGATGCTTCCTCGTTTGCAACTTTCTCTCTTTGCATTCTTAAACTTGAAATTTCACATTTCAGGCAAATGTTGAAACTGTCGTATTTAGAAATAAAGCTGTGAATCAGCTGCTGTTGATCTTCATCCATCCATTGATCATCTTCCTGTTGTTCTGAAGTCTGGTCTCGGGGGCAGCAGCTTCATCAGGGAGGCCCAGACCTCGTTCTACATCCACCTCTTCCAGCTCTTCTGGGAGGACTCCAAGGTGTTCCCAGGCCAACCGAGAGACGTAGTCTCTCCAGCGTGTCCAGGGTCTTCCCCGGGGTCTCCTCCCTGTCGGACATGCCCGAAGAACCTCTCTAGGGAGGCACCCAGGGAGCATCCTTACTAGATGCCTGAACCACCTCAACTGGCTCCTCTTGATGTGGAGGAGCTGTGATTCTACTCTAAGTCTCTTCTGATAACTGAACTTCTCCCCCTATCTCTAAGGACTAATCCAGCTACCCTGCAGAGGAAACTCATTTCAACCACCTGTATCCACAGTCTCATTCGTTTGGTCTCTATCCAGAGCTCATGACCATAGATGAGGGTAGGAACGTAGACCCACCAGTAAACAGAGAGATTTGTCTTACAGCTCAGCTCTCTCTTCACCACAACGGACCGGCATAGAGTCCTCAATACTGCAGATGCTGCACCAGTCCGTCTGTTAATCTCATGCTCCTTTCTTCCCTCACTCGTGAACAAAACCCAGAGATACATGAACTCCTCCACTTGAGGTAGAACCTCATCCTCGACCCAAAAAGAGCAATCCACCCTTTTCCAGTTGAGGACCATGGTCTCAGATTTGGAGGTGCTGATTCTCATCCCAGCCGCTTCACACTCGGCTGCGAACCGCTCCAGTGAGAGCTGAAGATCACGGCACGATGACGCCAACAGAACCACATCATCTGCAAAGGGCAAAGATGGAATCCTGAGGTCACCGAACTGGAAACCCTCCTCCCCCTGACTGCACCGAGAAAATCTGTCCATAAAAGTTATGAACAGAATCTGTGACAACGGGCAGCCCTGGCGGAGTCCAACTCCCCCCTGAAGGGTCCAACTTAATGCCAGCAATGTGAACCAAACTTTTGCACCGCTTGTATAGGGACTGAACAGCCCATAACAACAGGACCCCTCACAGAGCACCCCCCCCCCCACCCCCACCACCACCACCACACTGTGTACCTTTAGAAACACGGTCGAAAGTCTTCTCCAAGTCCACAAAACACATGTAGACTGGATGGACAAACTCCCATGACCCCTCAAGGACCCTAGTGAGAGTGTTGTTGATCTTTACAGAGTAATTCAGAATATATAGTGGAAGTTGATCATTTTCAGGTTGCACGTGTGTGTGTGTGTGGGGGGGGGGGGGGGGGGGGGGGGGGGGGTTAAGACTTAAGTGGAAGGAAGCATCTCAGAGTGCGGATACTGCAGGATAGAAACAGTTAATAGGAAGGGGTCAGGGATATAAAATGCTCTAAGATTAGCCGCCTCCCTGACTCGGCCTGCACATGCCAGCCATGCCTGCCATTCGTTTCTGTGCCGTCTCGCAGCGTGACAAACGATCTGTTCAGCAGACAACACACCCAACAGAGACAGAGCGCGCTCTTTATTCTGCACAAGTCATCGTTTAACTAAAGGCCCAGACTCCTTGAAGACATGCACATCACCCGCTGCGTTCCATGCTACAACAACTCGTCTTGTGCTGAGAAATGATGGACTTGTAGCCATTTGAGTCCAACCTTAAAGAGTCGGAGCCTTTTTCATGTTGACGAGCTGTGGCTGCCATCTTGAATCAGGTCGACATGAAAAGTTAATCAGCTGTAGACGAACAACCATTATGTTACATCCTGAATGTTTTATTGGAATACACGCATGGGATATTTTGCTAACAGACAGACTTGATTCCATTAATTACTTACAAAGTTCCAAACACATCACATGATCGGAAAACAGTATGTGTGTCAGTCTCAGCTACTACCTCACCAAAATTACCAACTATTGGTCAAACTGGCTGATTTCAACGTTCAGTTCTGTGTGAATGAACTCACACAGATGATTTTTCTTCCTTTGGATTATCCCTTGGAGCCTCAAACACACGAGCTGCGCTGCTGACTGCAGTGAAATCCCAGAGAAAAGCAGGAAGCGACCAAAGGAAACGTGTACATGACCTAACGTGTGCGTGGGTGTGTGCGTTTTGTCGAAGCTCGTGCATGCTTTATGTGTGTGCGTCTGCACTTGGTGTGTGAGAAAACACACACGAGTGTGTGTCTGTGGAATTCATCGTGCAGAGCAGATCTGTAAGGTGATCCCAAACTCCCAGTCAGGTGCAGAGTTGAGGCATAAAGGGGGAATTTGTGAGCGTGAGCGGGAATGCGGGTGGGAAAGCACAAGATCTAAATCCACTGTCGACAGCTGCTGTGTGAGGGTTTCTCATGTGTGTGTGTGTGTGGGGGGGGGGGGGGGGGGGGTAATACAGCCATGTGAGCAATGTGATGAAGTGAAATGAACATAAGTGTTTGTGTTTCCTCATTCTGAGATGAATTTGCACCCAGATCAAACACATCAGACACAAAGTGAGAGCTGAAGCTGCCTCCTCCTCTCTGGACCTCCTCAGCTCTGGACCTCCTCAGAACCGTTAGCATGCAGCCATATAGGCCTCTGGGAGTATTAAAGCTCCGAGGGACGTTAAGCAGCTGCAAATAGATGTAATGGTGTAATGTTTGTCTTCCGTGAGCGAGGCTCTCTGGGGTTCGTGACAAGCATTTCATGTAATCCAACTTATTGTCAACCTTTCATTTTCTCAGGTTTTGAGCTATGTAGAACAAAATGAGGAGGAGCGGCACCCTCTGACTCTTTCCTCGTGGAGAAATCCAAGAAAAGACGGCGTCAGAGTGAAGAGAGACTGGATCATCCCTCAAATCAGAGTGTCAGAAAACAGCAAACAGGTTCCTGAAGACCTCGTCCAGGTAAAACTGTCAGGTCACACGACTGCTGACCCTCTCAGGTGTTGTTCAGATTCTTAGTGCAACAAAAGCATAAAATCATGAGAGTAAAAATAAAATGTGCAAGATCGGGTCTTAAACACACATGACAAGTAGGTTAAAAGTCGTATATCATCACTCAGATACAAACAAACAAACAACCACAGGGAAATCAACATTTTAATAAGTGCACACACAATCCTGGCTTTAAACAAGAAGTCTGGTGTCATAACTGCACGTTACTTTTAATCTGGTAATTGAGTTTGTTTGTTATTTGTGCACTGCAACTGTTTTCATTTGCTACAATTCTGTTTGTTACAAAAACGACCTTTCTGTAACAGACTGCAGCGCAGGGGCGATTCTACAATTTGACCTTTGGGGCGATTAGCCCCCAGTGCTGATGCAACAGGGTCATGGAGAGCCCTCATGCCCCGCTGAGATGGATGCGGCAGGATACGTCATGGATCCGTGGGGAGTTTGGGAGCTGAAGTGTCTTTCCGTTTTGTCTCAGGAGAACGCTGAATATGTTTATATAATTGGAAACATGATAGCAGGGTTTCTGCTTTTTGGCATCCGCGGATTCCTGTGTTATCGGCTGTTGAAGAAGACGGCAGCAGCAGTTTCGGCCATGACAAAACAAGTCTGTGTGAAGGTTTGGTCTGTGCTTCGAGCACTCAAAATCAGCGGATTTACGAGCTAAACCATAAGATGGAAGTGATTTGTGAGAATCGCATGCCGCCTGCGGCTTCTGGGACTCGCCAGCATGTTGGGGACAACCTTGGAGGGGGCTCATAAGCACGGACCAGTGGAATGCCCACAAAAATCTGGCCATTTTGGGATCAAAAGTTCCAGCAGGACTCGAGGCTGACAAGAAAAAAAATCAGTCTGCCTGAAAAAATCAACAACTGTGGCTTATCTGAATCTGACTCCCCCGTTTGGCCTCGAAGCAGGACGACTCATCAAATTTCTCCTGGGACATGTGTAAACTAGCTCTGTCAATCGCAACCCCCCCACCCACCCCCACTCTGGGGACTTGTGTGAAGGCTTATCAGAGCTGTACTGGCTGACACCAACATCTTATCAGGACTATGGACTATCTGAAAATGTTTCATGGACAAATAACGTCTTGTCGTGAAACACATATGTAATGTGTTTATAAATGTGCTGCTGGTAGAGTTTTTGATTAAATCGTGTCCTGATAGGACAAGATGAAGAGATCTTTTTTGTAATAACACTATCCTCTCCTCATGGCCTTTCCCCCTTTTCTATCTAAAAAGTATTCTGAAAAAGGATAAGGGGCCGCGCTCCAGTAGCAGCAGCAACGTGCACTCTGCCCATCTTTCGGACGACTGTACGAACATAATCTCACTGTATCTCGCTTAAAAAGCCACTTTTATTCCCTGGCCTTTAACACTGTGTGATTTGTTCTGATCCTGCGTGTATCCTACAGTGTTAGCCATTTAGGTATTATCCGCTGCTATTTGTAGCTATATTTTTATTTTACTTTATTTTATGTTTTCCTGTCTGCTGTGCTTGTTTGTTTCTATTATATAGCACTTTGGTTGGCCTTGTTGCTGTTTTAAGTGCTCTATAAATAAATTGGTATGGTATCTCAGTACAATGATAATAAAGCTTATTCTGATTCTGATTAAGCAAGTAAATATTGGACAAAAAGTAATTTTTTGTATTATAAAGTCCTAAAATCACAAAAATCTGACTCTTGTTTTCATATGTATGTGTGATCATCTTAACTAAAACCAGGAGTGAAATGAAAAGTATTTACTTCTTTCTAGATTTACATTTGATTTGAGCACCCAGAGCAGGAATAAAACACATGTGGAGCCAAAAGGCTCATCCAGATTTAGAAAGTGAAGCCATGTGGTTCGTCTTCATTTTATTTATTTAAAAGCTTTAATAAAATGGAAACTTTAACAAGGACATCTGAAGTCTGTCATTTACATTAAAATTTTATAAACTGACTTTTTTTGTACAAAAAAAATGATTCTTTTTTTTGAAAAGCGCAAAATATACAAGTAATTTGTCAAAGAAATTACAACAAAATGCTTAAAAATTAGTTTTTGCTGTTAGTTGGAGCCTCAGAAGGAAACTTATAGCCTCGACTTCGTCTTTCCTTCACTGTTTTCTCGTCTCTCTGCTCAGATCAAATCAGACAAAATCTTCTCGGGCGAGGTGATCTACAAGTTAGAGGGGCCGGGGGTGGACCAGGAGCCCAAGAACCTGTTTGAGATCGACGATAAAAGCGGCGTGATCAGGAGCAAGCAGCCTCTGGACAGAGAGAAGTTCCGCAGCTTCACCGTAAGTCGAGGCTGAAGAACAATCCGGTGTCCACAAGCAGAATCTGCACGTGTTAACATTTCTGCCTCACGTATCAATGTGTCCAACACGTCCAGAAGTCAATGCTTCGAGGTTTTTATGTGCGTCCTGAGAGAAACAGGACGTTTCTGGCGGCCCGTGTTGGCTGACTTCACATGTCTAATGCTCTTAGTGGACACTGTGATGAATAAGCTCGTGAGTTCAGCGCATAACTATGAAACATTTCTTGTTTCTGTTTGTGTGAGCAGCTGAAAGCCTTTGCGCTGTCCCCCAGTGGAGAAAGACTGGAGAACCCCACCACCATCGAGATAGTGGTTCTGGATCAGAACGACAACAGGCCCGTCTTCACTCAGAAGCAGTTTTCTGGCACCGTCCCAGAGTTCTCTGTCCCAGGTACGGCCATGAAGTCGTTTTGATTCCCCCCCCCCCCTCGTTTCTTTTAAAACTTGATTAAATCACATTTTCATCTGAGAGTAGATTTCAAGATAAAACAAACAGCGGTCCTTCAAATACGTAAGAATTTCATTCACTGTGTTATTTTTTCTTGTTGTGTCCAAAGCAGCTGATAGTTTAGAAAAGCAAGTCCAACTCGAGTGAGATGACAGCAAAAATAATATTAATCAAAATACTTATTTCTTTTTTAAATACCATCTTAAGGCAAGGTCACTCACTGTGGTGACCCCTGCAGAGCAGCTGAAAGAAAAACTTGCTGTTTTAGCTACTGGGATTTCTAGATGACGTCTTTATGGAATCATTTTATCAAATCTCAAGTATGGCAAAACAAGTTGTTTTCTATTTTTTGCACGGCAGCCTGAGATCATTCTTCCTCAGCACAGTATGGGGTGCTGTTTGTAAAGTTGCACAGTCAAAAATTAACATCAATATTCTGGTTTATTTAGCTTTTAATAAGAAAAAAAAAATTTTTTTTTCAAAGTCATATTTTCACCATGTTATTCATACATTTGTAAATGTCATAGTTACAAACTAAATATTTAATTTCCAAGGTAAATATTTAGTTTATAAACTAATTAACTTGCAAGTTAAACATTTAGTTAGTAAACTAAATACTTAGATGTAAATAGAATATTTAATTTATGCCTATATATTTAGTTATTAAACTAAATATTTTGGTATAAAAATTAAATATTTAGTTTAGCTTAGAAATTCAATATTTAGTTACTAAACATTTAATTCCTAAACTAAATATTTAATTTGCTAACTAAATATTTAGCTCTGACCTAAATATTTAACTAGCAACATAAATATTAAGCTAACAAGTTAAATATTTAACTGGCAAATTAAATATTTAGGTTCAAGGTAATTTTAGCAAATTATTTATTTTGGAAATTAAATGTTTAGTTTGTAAAAATAGGTCCGAGCTAAATATTTAGTTAACAAATTAAATATTTAGTTTACATCTAAATACGTAACCCAAAAGTTAAATATTTAGTTTATACCAAAATATTTAGTTTACTAACTAAATATTAAGGTATATATTAAATATTAAATTTACACCTAAACATTTAGTTTACTAACTAAATATTTAACTTGCGAGTTACGTATTTAGTTTGTAAACTAAATATTTATCTTGTAAATTAAATATTTAGTTGGGACTTGTAACATTTATAAATGTATGAATAGCATGGTGAAAATATGACTTTGAAAAAAAAACCCTACTTTTTCTTATTAAAAGCTAAATGAACCAAAGAAAATTATGCAAATTTTTGGCTGTGCATCTTTACAAACAGCACCCTATAGTACATATCACAAATATTAAGCTAAAATTTGGTGTGGGTGTAGCTGACACTGATTTCCAACACACCAAAGTCCATGCTCAATAATCCACTTGGATTACTGAGCATGGACTTTGGTGTTTTGAACCAGTTTGACATGGCTGTCGACGAGGGAGAGGGCGGGCACCGGAGGAGAGGGTGTGCCCCAGAGGCCATCTTAGCACCAACATAACTGGTTTTCTTCCACTATGAGTAGGCTGTTGGGGGAATATAGGTTTTGTTTGGTGTTTCCTCAGCCTGATGAAGCCTTCTGGATGGAGGGCAAAACGTCTCAGCACAAAAAAAGAAACCGACCAGATGACCTGAATGAACATTGTTGGATTCCCAACATATATTCTGAGTGCTGCTAACAGATCGTACAACATCTTAGTTTAAACTTTGTCATAAAAAAACATACGTGCATTTCTTTACAGAATATGCAGCTACTTTCAGATTAAAACCTGCAGATGTTTGAGCATCCTGTCGATCCTCAGAGCTGCCGAACACGGTTCATAAAAACCACGAATAAAACTAATTTAAATGGATCTGTTTGTTGTGGCAGATGTATGTAAATGCATGACGCGTGATCGATTTATTTTTTACTAACCTTTATTTAACCAGGCAAATCCCACTGAGATCACAGATCTCTTGCAAGGAAGGCCTGGCTCTGAAGGCAGATTAACAACATGCATGTTCTTGTAGTGAGGGAGGAAGCCGGAGAACCCGGAGAAAACCCGCGCAAGCACGAGAAGAACATGCAAACTCCACACAGAAAAGTTGATTACGTTCATGGAAAGAATAACATCTAAATCAGATACTTTGAAGAACACGGATGGAAAATATTTGTCATTCTTAAGTTTTGGCTAGATACTGTCAAAATTGGAGAGCTTATGAGTTTGGAGGCATCTGACCACACAGGAAGTAAACTAAAATGTTGATTTGCATGATTTACTCGAGGTTTTAAAGTCACTCATGTAAAAGCATATTTTATTACTTGATTGAAACTTTGAGTTCTTCTCGGCAGGTACATCAGTGATGTCAGTGTCGGCCATAGACGCCGACGACCCGATGACAGAAAACGCTGCTCTCAGCTACTCCATCGTTAGCCAGGAGAGCATTCCTGCCAACGCCGTCACCAAAACCATGTTCGGCATCAACAACCAGACGGGCACCATCTACACACGAGACGTGGGCCTGGACCGAGAGGTAGATCTGACGCAGGTTAATGCAGACAGTCGGGCGGGGGGTTCTTTTTAAAAAACGCGCTGTGTTCTCTCGCAGGTGGTGCAGGGCTTTAAGTTGAAGCTAAAGGTCGCTGATTTGGGAGGCGAAGGTTTGAGCGGTGATGCTGAGGCCATCATACTCGTGTCTGACATCAACAACCATCCGCCACGGTTCAGCCTCACCTCGGTGAGCCAAACATGAGGGGGGCTTTGAGAAAACTGTGAAGAGAAAACTGACAGCTGCATGACAGCTGAAACTTGTTGGAGAAGCTAAAATTAAAACAAAAGCTAGAGGTGATTGGGAGAAAAAAATTAATGCAAAACCAGCAGAACAGTAGCTAAAAGCTCAAATTAACCGAACAGCAACTAAAAACCAAAAATAACAGAACAATAGCTGAAAACTTAAACCAGCAGTTGTAGCTAAAACAACAAATTGTAGCTAAAAGCTCAATTTAGCAAAATTTTAGACTGAAGCCAAAACTTGCAAAATATTTGCCAAAATGTGAAAACTAGTAAATCGGTAACCAAAAACTAAAACCAGCAGGACAGCAGCTAAAAGTTAAAATGATCAGAACAACAGCTAAAAGATTTATACAACAGAACTGTCGCTAAAAAAGTGAAGTGTGCAAAACAGTAGCTAAAAGTTAAAACAACAAATTGTAGCTAAACTCAAATGAGCAAAATTGTAAATTGAAGCCAAAACTTGCAAAACATTTGCCGAAATGTGAAAACTAGTAAACTGGTATAAAAGCTAAAACCAGCAGGACAGTAGCTAAAAGCTAGCATTACAGAACAGCAGATAGAAGCTAAATTAAATGACCGAGATATTAGCTAAAAGTTAAAACGAGCAAAATGATAGCTAAAAATTAAAACCAGCAGAATGGGTAACAACTGAAACACCAGAAGAGTAGCTAATAGCTACAACAGTACAGTAGCTAAATGCTACATCTATCAGAACTGTAGGTGCAAGTTAAAAAAAAAAAAAAAACTATGGTGATGTAGATATCAAGAGGAGCCTATCCTGCATTTCTATGAGGAAAAATATGGCATTAAAATTAAATTGTTTAATCATCATATCATCCTAAGCAAGCTGAGCATTCCCATAAATGGGTGAACTAGCTGAAACTATGCTAAAGTAGTTAGACCAACAACAAAACAAATAAATAAATAAAAATAACAGAAAAATCACAGATTGGGATAGTTGTACCTTGGAAAAGCTTGGAAAACAGCCAGCGCTGACATAAATACAGATGTTTAAAGAGCATCACTCGTTGTTTTGGTTCGTTTTGTAAAATAAAAATCAATTTGTTGGACCAAAGTAAATCTGATGATCTGTGTTTTCTGCATTTAGTACAGCATGACAGCAGAGGAGAACGTGTTCGGCGTTGAGATCGGCCGAGTCAACGTGACGGACAGAGACGACCCTGGAACGAGAAACTGGGAGGCCAAATACGCCATAACCAACGACCCTCAGAGAAACTTTGCCGTCAGGACGGACCCGGACACAAACCAGGGGGTTCTGACAGTGATACGGGTACAACTGTGCTGATCGTGGCTGTTTCTGTAGAAATACATGTATAAAATGCAGATTCATGTTCTATATTTGGTTTTTTTTATTTATTTATTGCCCTTTAGATACAATTTAACAGCTGACAAGAAGGTTTGAGATTAAAAAATTGACTTTTTAATATGTGATCAGATTTACAACTTTGTTTAATTTCATGCAATTTCTGAAGAAGTTTCAATTTTATTTATACCATTTTTTTTTCAATTTAGACAGTTATTAACTTGTTTTTATGTTACAAACATAAAAACAAGATAATTTTTAGGACTGTTCAGCTCATTTACACTTTAAGCTGCTTGAAGATGAAAAGAAACAAATTATAGTAAATGTAAAGGCCTAGAAAGAAAAATGGCTGAATGCTTTCTGTTTACAACAAAACAAACGTCGTTTTTGTGCTTCAAGAACTAAATCATGGGATCTTAAAACATTTACAGATCAGATCCAACAATCCACTGAGGTTGACTGACAGGTAGCACAAGATCCCTTAAATGTAGTTAAATGTTTGTTTTTATTTTATTTCAGTGGAGGCTGTCAGAGACTAAATACTGCCACCTAGTGGTTTTACTTCAAACTGCAAATGAATAAAACAGTTTTAATTCTCCTTTGCTGTATTTTACTTAAATAATTAGTATAGTTTGGTCATTTTTCTTTATAAATATTATATAAATCTTCCTATATTTTGGATTTAGAGCAAACAAATGTTTTTCTTGTTCTGTTGCAGCCTTTGGATTATGAAGGTCAGAGAAGGTACACCCTGTCTCTGACCGTGGAAAATCTCAGTCCTCTGAGCAACAAAGCTCCCAACTTGTCCCTGAGCTCCGCCACGGTGGTGGTCACTGTCGTGAACAAGAATGAAAGTCCAGTTTTTAAAGAGAACCCCGTCTGGATCGAGGTGCTGGAGTCTGCGCCGCCTGGAATCCTCCTGAAAAGCAACCTGGCCTCCGACCCCGACCATTCCGAGCTCAGGTACGACCCACGGAGTGTGGTTAAATGTAAAAAATGCTTTTCATTTCTCTTCCCCAAACAAACGGTGGGATGATTCCCTGTTGTTTTTGTGCTAGATATGAAATCAGTAAAGATCCTGAGGGGTGGCTGGAAATCAACAGAGACACGGGAGACATTGTGTCAAAGAGAAGATTCAACATGAAGTCTCCACATGTCAGAAACAACATCTACACAGCTGCTGTCACCGTCACAGGTCAGTTCCTGTGACATTTCAAAGAAATCTATCAGCATCTAGCACAACTGTATTCAAAAGTTTAAAACATTTTAATTGATCTGGAATGATTCTAAAAATCTAACGCTCTCTTGTCTTCAACGTAACGTACCTTTTTTAACATTGTGTTCATCTACTGTTTGTAAAGGAAACTGACATTCAGGTTGAGTTTATGTAGAAATAAAGAAAATAGACTTTACAAACTTTTATGCAGTAGCTGCTTTTGTGCACTTCTGCTTGACAATAACAATAAAACCTGCTGAGACGTTCTGCGTGCGTGTTGGCCCGTTCAGACGCTGGTGGATTATCCAGCACCGCTGCAGTGAAGATCCTCCTGAAGGAGACCAACGACTTCCCCCCTCAGCTCGTCCCTCTGAGCGGCTCCGTGTGCAGCCGCTCCAGCAGCGCCAACGCCGGCCTTTTTCTGACTGCCGTGGATGAAGACCACGCTCCACATTCTGCTCCCTTCACTTTCAAATTCCACGATGACTTGTCCTTCAACTGGACTCTCCTTCATGTCAATGGTAGAATCAGTATTCCACACGGAGGTGGTCACCGAGTGTTTTTCTGCCAGAACACAGTTCTCACGCTGCCTCTTCCTTCAGACACCCACGCTGTGCTCAGGCCCGCCGTAGAGCTGGAGGCCGGAGAGTACGCAGTGACCGTGTTGGTGACGGACTCCGGCGACCCTCAGCTGGGTGCTTACGCTCAGGTCAACGTCACCGTGTGTCCGTGCGACTCATTCGGGGACTGTAAGTCCAGGGCCGGGGCTCTCCTAGGCTCCAGTGTGGGAATCAGCGTCATGGCGCTCTTCATCATCATCGCTTGTGTTGCCCTTCTAATCGGTAAATTTGATCTTTAACGTTCTTCATTCGACACGAACGGTTAGCTGCAGTGATACGATGAGGTGATGATGTCCGCAGTGCTCTTCCTCCTGGCTGTGGCTTTGGCCTCCTGTGGAAGACGCCACCACATAAAGAAAGGAACCG